TATAATTTTAAGAATCAGATAATAGTTACCAATGCCAAATAATTAACTATAGTCAATACAGTCATTTAGGAACTTAAAAATGTTTAGGATTTGCCAAAATTACATTCTTCATATATAGAATTATTCTATCACTTAAATTACTTCATTTAATAAAGTTAAAGGAAATCATTTAAATACAATTTAGAAAATACAAAGTGGTATAAACTATACATTAAGTATTTTCCATCTTATTCTAGAATTTGGAAGAGCCAATCATAATCCACTGAATAATAATTGCAAATGCTACCAATGTATTTGAAATGGTACTTGTAGGTATGGGACTATGGAACGGTAGTAGATTAAGGGGGAAAAAAGATGGGTCCACAGAAAAATTTCCATAATTTTGGAAAGGGCTGAATCTCAAACTTTTGGGTATCTAGGTAGCATTAATTCATAAAAAAAACTTATTCATTACTATTCTGGAAGATGGCAAAATATTAAGAGATGATACCTACTTGGCAGTAGCATGTAAGCATAGATGAGTGTACAAATAACAACATGAATAGGTACACAAATAACTAACTACAATGCAAGATTGGGTGTGATAAACAGCATAAGATTAATACCATAGCTGTTATCTCCCCATCTTCCATCCTTTCCATTGCTGAATCTCTGCATGCATATTTGATTCCTGTATGATTTTCTCCCTTCTCCCCTCAAAAGGTTAATCCTGTGCTTTTAATTCTACCCTCTCCTCTAAACTCACAAAAGGTTTTGTTCTCTTAGTTATTCTCCTCTCTTACAGGTTCAATATCTTGCGCTCTCCTCTACATAAAAATATGCACACGTCTCAGTTTAGTTTTTAAAGGGCACATTTTCCTTTCCATCAGTCACAGACTTCTTCAGGCAAGGGCCTTAACCTGTGACTTCCACTGTTTTACCACCTACTGTCATTCTCAGAATTATAAAATATGACTTCTCCCCCCTCAACTTTACTGAAATAATGTTGATATTTTCACAGGTTATCAACAGTCTCCTAACTTGTCAAAATTCAGTGATCTTTTCTGACTTCTCTTTGGCTTTTGTAACTGCTGACACTATCGACCACATTTTTAACCTTTTGTGCCTTAGCATCTGTGACACCATACCATCCTGGCTTTCCTCCTACATTTATGGTCATTCACCCTGTGTCTCTTCTTCCTCTCCACCCACTCCCAAACTCGGGTGTTCTTCAAGGTTCAGTCCTTGCCCTCTGTTTTTTCTTGACAGTCTCTCAATAGCAAATCACTTGCAGATGCTTAGAAAGTCAACTGTCTTTCTTCTCTACACGAATGGCTCCCAAATCCTCCTCTCTACCTGTGACTTCATTTCCAATCACCACACTTACTTTTCTGTCTGGATGTATATTAGTCATCTCAAACTCAACGTACCTAAATAGAACTCACCATCTTCCCTCAGAAAATAGCTCCCTTTCTGAACTTCTCTATTTCTGTTAATAGTACCACTATCCTTGCAATGTCAGAAATTGTCTTTGACTCATTTTGTTCCCTATTTCCCCAATCTGTCACCAATTCTGCTGACAGATCCTTTGTAATTTATCTTTTTATCTCAATCACTCATCTGAGCTGTACAAACATTCACCTGCACCTGGAGTATTCTAGGTGCCGAAAAGACAGATTGAGCCCTCCTGTGGAGGCATTCACAATCTAATTTTAATAATAAACAAAACAATAATTATAATACAGAGGGATAAGTGTTAAAATAGAGGCACTTACTTCATACCTGGACTATTGCAATGGCTTTCAAACAGATTTAAGTGCTTCTAGTCTCTTTTTCTTGAGTGCCACTTTCAGATGTTTTTCTAAAAAACTATTTTGATCATATCTTTTTCTTGCTCAAGAATGTTTCTGTATGGCTTTCAGGATGAAATTGTCACTTATTAGCCTGTTGTGAAAGGTCCTACACAGTGAGCCCCCAAATTCTCTTCAAATGTTCTCTCTCATTACTTCTTCACATGAACTTCCCGTTCAAGTCAGTTTGCCCATGGGACCTAAAAATAATTTAATATTCCTCATGACACTGCTTTCATACAGAAAACCCCACCATTTCCATAAAAATCTATCTTTTAAGATTCCGATTACATCCTATCTCTATAAGGCAATTTTCAATGGTCTTAATCAAAGGTGAATTCTCTCTTCTTCAAATTCCTAAAGCAATTTTAGCCTGAATAAATATTATGATTTTATAATTAGGAACTGTCTTATTTTATTTTCTCCATTGTTGTCTTGAATTATCATTTAATTTTTCTTATTTAACTATATACAGTTCATGTTGTCTGCCCAGCTAAACTCTATGCTTCTCACAAGCACTTTTATCTTATACTTCTTTGTATCCTAGCAAGTACCTGGCGATGCCTGGAGCATTATATTTGTTCAGGAGCAAGATTTGAAAGAAGGGTAGGATTTTGAAAATCTGAGTTTGGACACTGCTGACAGAAGAAACATGCACAAAGGCAGGAAAGGACCATGTCTGTTCAAAATACAGAAAGTAAATAAAGTTGGTTGGAATGGAGGTTTTGGAGTTTTTCTCCCCTAAAATGAATAGTAGAATGTCAGGTGGAAGGGCCAAAATAAGTTCCACAGTAAAGTGTTTTAACTTTATCTGATAGGTGATGAAGAAACCATGGAAGATTTCTGAATAGAATAATGAACAGGGCCAGAGTTTTATGAAGTTTCATCAAATTAGCCGTGTGCTACATTAACAGGAAGGCCTGAACATCAGTTAGGCGGTTACTGTCCAGACATGAAGTAGGAAGGCCTACCCAGTACAAAGTACTTTTCTTGCATCTCCTCTCCAGAGGGAAATCTGCCTTAAAATTCCTAGGGCAGGCCGGGTGTGGTGGCTCACGCCTGTAATCCTAGCTCTCTGGGAGGCCAAGGAGGGCGGATTGCTCTAGGTCAGGAGTTCAAAACCAGCCTGAGCAAGAGCGAGACCCCGTCTCTACTATAAATAGAAAGAAATTAATTGGCCAACTGATATATATATAGAAAAAATTAGCCGGGCATGGTGGCACATGCCTGTAGTCTCAGCTACTCGGGAGACTGAGGCAGGAGGATTGCTTGAGCCCAGGAGTTTGAGGTTGCTGTGAGCTAGGCTGACGCCACGGCACACACTCTAGCCTAGGCAACAAAGCGAGACTCTGTTAAAAAAAAAAAAAAAAAAGAGATTTGCTGACATTCAGGGATTAGCCCTGCCACAGCAGAGCATGAGATGATAGTTGTCTATTCACTCAAACTTGAACTTGAACAGAATCACAACTCTGACGTATCTGTTTTATCTATTTTATACACTAAGGTTTCCTTCCATTAAGTGATAATTGGGAACTGACTACCTAGAAGTCAACACAAGAATTTATAGAAATTTGCCTTTTTTCTTCTAAGCAAGTTCTAACATCTTTTGTCTTTATTACCTTCGTCTATGGATAAACAGGAATTTATTAACTCCCCTAATCAGAGGACAGGAATAGAGGTGGGAAGGGCCACCACTGTAGTACTTTTTATTTGCTAATCTCTATTTATTTGATCAAATTCTTTTTAGGTATAGTGGGATAATTGCCACACACACAAAAAAAAGAAACAAGAGAGAGAAATAAGTTAATCTGAGGCTAGATAATTAGAATTCACAAAGATATGCAAGAGCAAAAAAATAAAACAGACATTGAACAATGACTCTGTGTTCCTCTCCCATTATGCAGTAAGGTCTGTGTGGTTGGTTTCACTTAGGAATATTTACATTTGTTTTTCTTCGTTGATGTTTTCATATATATGTGTACATGTGTCAGGGGAGGAGAATGGGAAACAAGTAGAATGAGATAGGCTTCAGAGAAATGAAGATTTAAGAGGTACACATAATTCTTCTGAGTCATCCAAACACCCAAGATAAATAAGGCTATGATGAACAAATTAAGAGTAGGATTAATATCTAAATATATCTACCTAAGTATCGAATTAGAAAAGACCCGATTAGCATGACCCTTTATATCTACATCTAAACTGCATTAAAAAGAAATCATTTATAGAATGTTAAGACTGACAGCAGAATTGCAAAATAAAAAAACAGAAACTTAGCTAACTATAAGAAAGATTTTCAAATAATAGTAGAGATACCTTTTGGACTGGCAGAAGACTATTCATAGGTCATAGAGAATATTCATGAGAAATAAATTAGAAGACCAACTGAATTTTGTCAATTTATAATAAAGATATATTTAGGCAAACATATTACAAGATAAATCAAATTTATAAAAAAAGATATATTTGAAGGCTATTACTAATCTAACAAAAGTATTCATGAATAGGATTTTTTGTAGGTATCAAGCTCTCCTATTACATTTAAGATATGATTGAATTTACAGACTAAGTTTCCTAGGAATTTGTTTATTGTTATCAATAACTCCACAATCAACAATTGCTTTACTTAGACATTAGAAAGCATCTATAAATGCAAAGTTAAAGTAATGGCTGGTTCATGTGTTCTATTTTATACACTCAGTAGAAATCACATATAAGCATTACAGATATTTCACACCTTGCATAAAAGCTACTTCTTGATTTGTATGTTGGCTTTTCATGCACACAAAGCCTTCTCCCACTCTCACAAAGCACACCTCACCATCACTGTATTGAGAGTAGAGTAAAACAATAATATATTTTGGTTAGTAGAAGTTGTTTAAATACCATGAACAGCTGGCCAGATGACACGGTAAGCCTTGTATGGAGCTAGCTAGCACTCTTTGTTAAAGCAAAGCAAACTGTCTCTTATTTCTCATAGCCAGTATTCTTGACACTATGCCTATAGATATAAACAAAACTTGAAAAGCAAACAACTTAAACATGTTCTCCTAATTCCTCTTCCCCCTTTTAAAAACACAAAAGTGGATTTAGAAAATGTGGGGTTTTATTCCCCAAAGTAAGAAAGTTCGGACAACAAAGGGTTAAAAGAACAAGCGAGCCCTACCGTACCCAGAAATGACAGAAGGCTCTTCTCCTCTTCGGTGCTACTATCCAACCACTCCGCCACATCACCAGGGGAAAGGAGACTCATTCTCCAGCCAGAAAACTTTTCCATACAGAGCACAATTACTGAATGATGAAGTGAGAAAAGAAGGATACAGAGACTAAATTCTTGGGGGTCCAACACTTAAATTTGCTGGCTAGGCTGTAATGATGAAAGAGAAAATGTGATCCTCCCTCTACTCTGAATTCTGTCTCTGTGACATCAATCTAATACAACCTGGGGGGAGGGGGAAAGAAATAGAGGGTTAAAAGAGGGTGGCAGAAGAGAAAGGAAGAGAGATTTGTCCTTCTGTCTCTTGGTGTTAAGCTTTAGCCTGCAAGAGAAAGCCAGGATAAAACTGAATAATAATTTGTTTAATGACAGGAAAAAGCATACAAAATAAAGACTAAAGACACTCAAAGAAAAAGAAACAGGTTCCTACACTGGAAGCAGCTTAGATAACCAGACAGCACAATAGCTAATCAGTTAAGTAAAGCATATCATCAAACAAAAACAAAGACAAAAGAACAAATTCAGCATTTTGTTTTGTTCTGAGGAGAAAGGTTTTCAAATTCCTTTCAGTCATGCAAGAACTGCAGCCTCCTAACCCCTTCCTGCTTTCGCTATTTCAACAGCATCCCAGCCCCCTTTACAAAGATTTCCTGTGAGAAAAGGCAGGTTGATAAATCTGTGAATAGGAAGCTCTTATCCCTCCTTTATTCTCCTCCTCCATTCCCCCCCTGCCTCGCATGGCGACTGCATTGATCGACAATAATGGAATCTGTAACTGACTGCCAACAGCAACATTAAGGATATTACAAGTCCACTTCATAAGAATTCAAGCTGGTGGTCGGAACTCGTGGGGCAATTCTGGGTTTCTAGTCAATAGCTCTGTCTTTCTTTGTGAGAAAGAAAAGGAAGTGTGTGTGTGTGTGTGTGTGTGTGTGTGTGTGAAGGAAAGAAGGCTGAAATGTGAAAGAAGGAAGAAAAGTAAGCTTGTTGGGCTGAAGGTTAAGAGATCCATCAACATAGAGAATGACTGCTCTTCAACTCTTGTCACTGTGTACTGTTAATGTGGAAGAGTCAAATCCGCATGAATTTTTAATATGATTTACATTACATATTTACATGGTTTGACTTAAGATTGCACAGGTTTACATCTTATTAACAGGCAGAGAAAAATCAAGCAGAAGAGGCATGTTAAGAGACCCATAAATCACTAATATCCCTGTTCTCTGGAGATTGATTAGGCTTGTTGCTATGAGAAAATAATATTCTTAATAAAAGATATAGTTTTTCCCTGCATTAGCAAAGTATTAGCTCTTTTCCAAATAATGTAGTCTTTCCTTCTATTTATTCCAGTAGTGTGCCTTCAGTGAGAGATTCTCATTGTTTAAGAGTTACTACCTCCTTAATATATCCCGAATCCACACTCTTCTCTCCATGTTTACTCCACCCTGCATCGTTTTTCATCTGGACTCTAGTTCACCTTGACTGTAAGTTCCCTGAGGACGTGGACTTTGGTTTATATAAATCTTTGTAATCATAGTGGCTAGAGCAGTGCCTGGAACTTAGAAGAAGCTCACTAAATATTTACTGAAGTAATTTAGTTGGCTACTCTAAAAGTTTTAACAGCTCCAACATTGACAAGAGATACCAGGCAGAATATTTTAGGACTTATTTTAAAAATTAGCCATTTTGACTATTACTTAAAAGTAGTTGTAGCTATTGTGTCACATGATTGAGAAGATAGAAAATGTCAAAAAAGTATCATGAACTTATGTTTAAATGCATTTATAGTTTATTACTCAAAATAACTACATAAAATTGAAAAGTAGTAGTTAATATGTGTAAAAGACATTTTATTGAAATCCACAGGCTATGCTTGCTTAGTGTCTAAGCATGGATTTTTAACCCCTTTGTAATAACTTCATGGCATAGTAGTATCTCTGGAACTTCCATGGTGGAAACCATTGGCCAAGAGGATCACATTCAAACTTCTCAGTGTGACATGGCTTTTTTCTTTTTAGGGACCCTCAGATTCCTCTCTGCTCAGCCATGGTATACTATTTACCTCACTTCTATGCCTTTATATGTTTCATTGAACGTGGTCAGAAAAATTCATTTGTTTTGTTCATTTGTCTAGAATTAAACAACTATCCAGTTTTGTTCAACTGTCTAGAATATTATCTGGCACACGGAAATATTCAAAGATTTCTGTTGAATGACTTTGGTACCTTCTGTGAGGTATCACTCTATCATGCATACCTGACAATACTGAACTGATCCATTGAGACTCAGCTCAAATATCACATTTCCAGATTTCCCTGATACCTTAAGGTAGAATTACTAGCTCTAGTATACATACTTTCATTGTTATTACGCCTATTACTTTATTAAAATTACTTATTTACATAGTGGTTTCCTCTACTATATCTCATTCCTTTAGAAAGCAAAAACTGTGTTGTATTCAGTTTTTTAAAAAAATTTTAATGCCTAGCTTATAGTAGATGATTTGTAAGTATTTACTCAATGATTATTATTATTGAAAGTGAGATTATAATTCCATGTATCAATGTATCCATGTATCAAAGATAACTTAATACTAAAATATCCTCATCCACATACTCCTCATTTAAGGATCCGCATCATTAGTTTCCACATTAACAACCAAACAACTTAGTTAAGAAAAACTAAATCGTTGATGTATTTTACCAAAGCAAAAACTATATAATCAGAAAGATCAAAATAATCTATCTCTACAAATTTACCCTCTGTAAATTGAGAGTTAGAAAATGAGGCACTCAAGAAAAAGTTCTAGACTGAAATTTTGTTATAATATATAAGGCATCACACTGTTTTTGCTTGTTTACAATCAGAACATAGAGTGAATTAGTCCCTGTTATGTAAAAATTTCCTTAAAAATAAAACTTACCTGAAAATGTAACCATTCTATAGCTGGCTGTATATTTTGCTAAAATGTGAGTAAAGAGCATCACAAAACTCTAAGTAGACCTGTTAGAAATAATGATTAACTATAATTTTCTGCATAAAAACACAAATCCCATTCATTTTGGCAGTTCTTTTTGTGTAGTAAGTACCTATTTGACACCTGTTTATTTTATTTTATTCATTATTTGCCTAAAAAGGTGGAAAATATCGGAAGAATGTTTGGTGACTGAAGTTTCTATTTGAGGGCATTAGTATTTCATGTGTGTATGTGTATGTCAGCAGTGTGTATATATGCGTGTATATGCTACTTACTGTTTACTAGGCACTTCACTAAGTGCTTTACATACATTATCGCATTCAAAATTCTTAACCACCATGTGAAATAGATACTCTATTTACTTTTCAAATGAGAAAGTGAAGATTACAGAACTTAACTTGTTCAATATAACAGAGCTAGTCCTGGAAATGAAATGTGAACTTCTGAATGTTTGGTCAAGATTCCCCACTACACTATTCCATATCCTACAAAAAGTCACTTAGGCAGGGAGCAGCAAATACACTATTCTATAAAATATCCATATAGTAAATATTTTAGACTTCATGGGTCATATCGTCTCTGTTGCAACTATTGTAACTCCACTTTTGTAGCAAGAAAGCAGCCATAGACCATAATGTAGACAACTTTATTTATAAAAAAGGCTATTAGGCTTTAATGATCCCTGATTTAGGTCAGCACTATCAATTCAGTCAATATTTTTTGAGTACTTAATATATGCCTAGATATCTACTAGGTCTTTATGATTGAAAAATAAAATAATTAATGTTGCATGGGTCAAATTAAGTTTTATTTTTATTTTAATAACTAAAGAATTCTCCTTATTTTACTTTCAAGACACAATAAATAAATAATTTCCTTCCTACTACCTTAGTCTCATGGTCCTATATTTAATTTTTACTTAAAGGGTGTAAAAATATGTAGTCCCTCTTCAATTACTTAATATTCTTAATTTTCATTATAGCTGCCTTTATTTCAGATTCATTTACTTAACATTAGTGCTAATGTGTGCCGTGCATTATTTTAAGTCCTAGGATATGGCTGTGAACAAAAGAAGCAAAATCTTTGTCCTCATAAAGCTTATATTCTATGGGGATGAGTAAATAATAAATAAGATAAAAAAGCAAAATATATATTGCATTAAATGATGAATAATGCCACAAAGAAGCACGGAAGGGGGCTAAGTAATGTTGGGAAGGGGTACAGTTTCAGAGAGGGTAGCCGGGGAAGGCCTTGCTGAGATGCTGAAATTTGACTAAAGGGTTAAAGGTGGTACGTTTTAGGAAGAGGGAACAACCAATAAAAAGGTATAGACTAGAGACAGGAAGAGCCAGGAGGCAGTGCAGCTAGATTGGAATGAGGAAGGGAAAAATAAAAGATCTAGTCTCTGAACAGGAAGCCAGATCTGTAAAGTTATAAGATCTCTGGCTTTTATCCTTAATTAGATGGGAAGAGTTTGAGGCAAGAGTGATATATAAGGCTTTACTTTTTTATTTTTTTAATGACAGTATTACTAAAATATAAATTCACATATTATAAAATTCATCCTTTTAAATTGGTTTTTAATACATTCATATTGTGCAACTGTCACTACTATTTAATTCCAGAACATTTTCATGGCCCCCCCCAACCCTGTAACCATTAGCAGTCATTCTCTATTCCCCCCAACTAAGTCCCTAGCAACTCCTAATCAAAATTTTGTCTTTATGAATTTGTCTATTCTGGATATTTCATATAAATGAAATTATGTAATATGTGGCCTTTGTGTCCAGGTTAATCTATGTTTTAGCAAGTACCAATACTCCATTCCTTTTTATGGCCAAAAAATATTCCATTCAGGGACATTTGGATTGCTTCCACTTTTTAATATTATGAATAATGCTGCTATGAACATTCATGTACAAGTTTTTGCATGGAAGCCTTAAACTTTAAAAGGATATCCAAATATGATGTTTTATGTAATCTGGGGTGGTTTTTTTTGGTACTAAAGAATTTTTAAAATGCTATAGCAGAAGAGAATTGTTTTCCAATTTTACAAGCACCATATTTTCTTCCTAATTCTTCCAAGATTTCCATCCTCCTTAAGAAATCAAAACCATTGACTCAGTCTCTTTCCTCCTGCTCTATTATTGTTGGACATAGGAAAAGATTAATAATAGAAGGAATAAACAAAGGCAGATAATATATAACCTTTTCCTAAATTGATAACTAAAGTTGGGAAAGTTGGTGGAGATTTTTTGGGGGGAGATAACTTTATATATTTGATAAGGCTTTCTTTGATAAAGAAAAGGTGTAAGAATAGTACAGGAGGCTCCGGTATACCCTTTTCCTAGATTTATCAACTGTTTATATTTTGCCACATTTGCTTCATCATTCTCTCTGTGTATAATATTATAATAAACCCCCTAAATCACCTGAGAAAGTTGGAGACATTATGCCCTTTACCACCAACCAACTGGGTGTATTTTCTAAAACAAAGGACGTTCTCTTACAAAACCAAAAACAATTATCAAAATCAGAAAATTTAACATTGATGTTGGTTGATATTAAGGCCTTCATTTGAAAAACAAACTGTCTTCAAGCCATGGTAACTGAGAAATCATAAGTAGTGACTACAAATATAATTCAAAGTAATAATCTATATCATATTAAAGTAATGTCTCTCAAATTTTTTCAAGGATTTCTATCGAACATATTGACATTTAAAACACTGTTGTGATGAAAGACTGAAAGTAAGAATAACTACTTTTCAAAAGGCAAATAAAGAACAGGTAGAGTGACTGCATTTCCATCTTGATATTCCTTTGGATACATATAACACTTTTCCTCAAAGAAGCTTAAAGTAAATATCAAACTATAACTTTTTCTATATTTTTAGTGAGGAGATATTTTATTTTAATAAGAATAGAATTAAATCCTCTGAAATCTGTAGTTAAAAACTTTAAATATTACATCAAATATATATAAACCTCCAACTCTTTGCTTCCAAGTCACATACCAATAAGTGCTCCCCTGTATTGTTTTCACTTGCCAGACATGTTGCCTTATTATGAGTAGAGCTTATGAAACTGACGAAGCTAAGCTGAATTTTAATTTATTTGGATTTAGAAAGCAATACTTTGAATATGCAAAAGTCACACAGTAACAAGGATGTTAGTATTATAAGAAGTATTTCTATCATATGATTATTTAATATATACATCGAAAATGCTTTCATATCTATCCTTCAGTGAAAAGAGGTGTCAAAATGTAAATTATTTTTAAAAAGTAAGGTAGTAACAACATCATAAAACAGGTGCTCGAAAGAAATGTTCCAAAGACTAACAGTGGATTCTGTTTAAGGAAGTTGATGACTACCTAGAACTAAAGCTAATCAGATTCCTTAAACACTGAAGTTATTCTTTTAAGAATAAAATGTAAATAAAGTGACAGCTGTAGTTAATGAAGAGAAAACTCCTTCTCAAAAAGACCCAGAAAGTGGCTAATGTATAATTATTTGTGAAATACTTTTTTCCTTAGAATAAAGTTAAATTTTACAATTAATTTTAGTCAAAGTATATGCAATTCTTAGAATCTATCCTTTAGCACTAACACAATAGCAAGCAAATGGTAGGTATTTATTTATTCAATATTTATTGAATAAGATGGATAAACCTAACATCTAAGATTATCACTGCTCTGTAAGTTGAAAATCATTAGGGTAATATATCCTCTAATTTGTCTCTAAACCCAGCAATAATTAAATATTTGTATCGATAATAATAATAGATCGAATGTTCCATGCATTTACAAAGTACTAGGTAGTACATGAAGTGCTTTACATGTCTAACCTCATTTTACTCCTCATAAAAATTCTGTGAGGTTGTAGTAACATTTTTCCCATTTTATAGATGGGGAAACTAAGGTTTAGAGAAAATAAAGGTTAAAGAAGTGACAAAGTCATAAAGCCAGTATGCTGTGGTGGCAAACGACTTAGGGATTTTTATTCCAGAGCTGACACTCCAAACAATTTTCCATATTAGAGTTTCTTTCTATAACATTTTTAGATATTTTGGGTGACATATGAACTGTGAAAGTGAACAGTCATTAAGTGGAAAGTAAAGTTGTTTTCCTTGACCAATAATCTGAGATACTACAACAAAGTTAAGTAAATTGTGTAGGAATCCAAAGAGTCAGTGGCAAATCAGGAAGCCAGACGCCATAGTTTCTAATGTGAAGGAATGAAAAATCAACTTGAATTTTACAGTGTATAGACATTTGTTTTATTTCTTTTTACTAATAGCTGGTTTTGACAATCTGATTATTTTTCATAAGTACCTATTAACAAAAAGATTTCACTGACTATTAGTGCAATGCTTGGTACATAGTAAATATTTAATATTTGTTAAATGAATGAATAAATGAATATGTTTTTCCATGCCTGATCAGTATATTTGGCATGGTTATTTGACCCTACAAGCATTTAATGAGGTTATTTAATGCTCTGCTTGACAAATTTACCATTGCTAATTTTATAGTGGAGAATATGTCAATTTTTATCCATCATTGTATCCATCATGTCTTTAAAGTAAGGGAATGCAACATGTTTAGAGGAGAAAATATAATATTTGGTAGTTTTAAGAGAAAAATTAACTTTAAACATGTGATATCTGATAAAAGTTAATGGCATTTCCACAGCAAAGGAAATAATCAACAAAATGAAAAGTAGGCCAACAGACTGAGAGAAAATATTTAAGAATCATATATCTGATAAGGGGTTAATATCCAAAATACATAAGGAACTCATATAACTCAATAGCAAAAAATTGAATAACCTGATTAAAAAACAGGCAAAAGACTTGAATAGATATTTCTCCAAAGACATAAAAATGGCCAACAGGTATATGGAAAAGAGTGTTCAACATCACTAACCATCAGGAAAATGCAAATCAAAAACACAATGAGATATCACCTGTTAGGATAGCTTTTATCAAAAAGACAAGATACAAAAAGTATTGGTAAGAGTGTAGGGAAAAGGTAACCCTTGTATACTGTTAGTGAAAATGTAGATTGGTGTAGCTACTGTAGAAAACAGTACGGAGGTTCCTAAAGAAATTAAAAATAGAACTACTATATGACCCAGCAATTCCTCTTCTGGGTATTTACCCAAAGGAAATGAAATTACCATCTGTAAAAATATCTGCATTCCCATGTTCATTGCAGCATATTCTTAATAGCCAAGATATGGAAGAACTGAAGTATCTGTTGACAAATGAATGAATAAAAAACTGTGAGATATATGCATATGAATATAAAATGGAATAATATTCAGCCTTGAAAAAGAGGGATATTTTGCCATTTGCAACAACATGGATGAACCTAGAGGATATTATGGTAAGTGAAATAAGCCAGACACAGAGAAGAAAAATAAAGCATGATCTCATTTATATGTAGAATCTAAAAAAACCAAAACAAAACATAACAAAACCCCAAAAAACAAAACAATGAATACATAGCAACAGAGAATAGAACAGTGGTTAGCAGGGGCAGGGGAAATGGGAAGATGTAGGTTAAAGGGTACAAAGTTGTAGTTATATAGAACAAGTCTAGAGATCTAATGTACAATATGAGGACTGTAGTTACTAATATTGTATTTTTTACTGGAGATTTCCCAAAGGAGCAGATCTGAGATGGAAGGAAGGAAGTAGGGAGGGAGGGAGGGAGGGAGGAAACTATATGAAATGACAGATATGTTAATTTGCTTGACTATAGTAATCACTTCATTATGTATATGTAAATTAAAACATCATGTCCCTCGGTATCTATGTGGGATTGGTTCTAGGACTTTCCACAGATACCAAAAATCCTCAGATGTTGAAGTCTCTGATATAAAATGGTATATAGTATTTGCATATAACCTATATACATCCTCCTGTATACTTTAAATCATCTCTAAATTACCTATAGTACCTAACACAATGTGAATGCTATGTAAATATTATACTGTAATGTTTGGGGAATAATGACAAAAAAAGTCCGTACATGTTCAGTATAGATGCATTTTTTTCCAAATATTTTTGATCAGCGGTTGGTTGAATCCACAGATGTAGAACCCACAGATATGGAGGGCTGATTGCATGATTTTAAAAAAGCTAATGAGTACTAATAGTTATGGAAAATGTATACAGTATTACAGAAGTGTTTTGGCAACTCAAAAAGAAAAATCAATGATTTTTTTAAATGAAAAACCACAACTATCATTAACTTTTAATGTATTTGTTATTACCTGGATTACTATAGTCCTGTATCTGGATGTATCCAGAAAACATCCCTGACTAAAAAACAAATACTACAAACAATTCTTTTAATTTCCTCTTAGTTAGTACTTGAATTTGTTGCAAATTGGGCTTTAGCATGAGAAAGAGTTGCAATCAAACACTTGAATCAATAGATATGTAAACCCTGCTACATTTTATCTTAAATGAGCTTAAGTGGCAGAACTATTTCACAGAACTACATTATTATCTACCTGG